AAGAAAAATACGAGGCGCACGCTCCGCCAGCTGTTACCTCGCCGAATAATAATCATAATCGAGCTCGCTCAAAGGACCCACCGCAACGCGCGCTGTGTGTACTCTATTCCCCTGATTACTCGGCTCCGTAATGCGACGATCGCTCATTTCACCGTCGGAGATACCCTTCGCATGAAAGGAGAGGAAGAGAGAAAGAAAGAGAGAAAGAGAGAGACAGAAACGGACAACGGAGTCGACACTTCGCGCCGTAATTCCGCCGGTTAATCCATAATATTCAAAGACGGGAAGTCGCGTGTGTGCCCGAGCGGTGTGCAAAAAACTCGACTTTGCCGACACGCGCCTGCAACCTGCTCTCTCTCTCTCTCTCTCTTTCGAAGCCTTTCGTGGCGTACAAGAGGGAAATAAACCGGCCGACCGACCGTATGGCAACCGTGAACCGGACGAGCCAGGGCCGCGCGGAAGGAATAACCAGGGGGGTGACGCAGCGGGGGTGACAACAAGGGGGCATAAACCGGGGACACGTAATTCGCCGGCCACGCCTCGGTGATCGTGCGGCACGCATGAAGGCGTGCACGCACGTATGCACGCACGCACGCACGCGTGCACGGTCGCACGCCCGCCCACGCGTGCGGCCTGGATTTGATTACGGAAAGGGCCTCGGTGGTGTGCTGCTGGTGACGGCGACGACTCGGACTTTCTCTCGAGCCACCCTCGTAGGGAGGAGGGGTGGGAGAAAAAACAGAAACAGCACGGAAGATCGCGGCGATACGGCCCGTACGACGACCGACTGTGAGAAGTCGAGAGAGAGAGAGAGAGAGAGAGAGTGAGAGAGAGAAAGAGAGAGGCCGTGGGGTCAGGGATCGCGAACAGAGCGCAGGAGCGTGGAGCGGAATAGGGCATCGTCGAGTGGGATCGCGCGGCTTGACTTCGATTATCCTCTCGAGCGGCGGATTATTGTAAAATTATCGCCCCTCCCCTCGCCTTCCGAGCCGAGGTGACACGCGCCGGTTGAGTTTTCCCTGTTTCTCGACGGGGAATTCGTGAGTCGAGTGATCGTCGGCGCGAACGCGGGAAGAGACAGAGCGAGAATTCGAGAGAGAGAGAGAGAGACGTCTGAAAAGATTTCGTACGCAAAAAAATTAGTATCAATGCAAAATTCATATTCTCATGTATGATATTTACTTAGGTTTTTAATTTTAAGTAAAAAAGAAGTAGATAATAGCATAAAACTTCTTGCTCTGTTCATTTCTAGATAAAAAAAATATACAATAAAGTCTATCAAGTGATTTTAAATAATCGCGGCAAAACACTTTGAGAAACGCTTTGACGTTCTGAAAATCCGCCTTGCCATTTGAGGATTGATCCAAGTAACAATTTTCCGAGGAGCATTAGAGCAATTATTTGCTTTAATCCGGCGCTTTTCCTTTTTGCGCGCGACTCCGTCTCTCGGCGGAAATACCAGGGCGCACAGGATGCGCCAACGCGACGGCTCGCGCGCGCTTCATCGGGACTCGAGTGCACACGTGCGGCGGCGGTGAGCGGCCGCGTCGCGGAACGATCGAGCGAATCGGATAAACCGGAAACGGCAGGTTCCTCGGAAATGACGACGAGCGATAAGTCGCCGAATAGACGACTCGCGCTGGTAAAAGTTAACGCGCGGATTTCGACGCGCGTAAAACGGAGCGGCGATAATGCGCCTCGTGATGGAAGGACACCCCGTATATCGCGCTCGAGCACGCTATCGACGGTATTATACGCCGAGAATTATTTCAGTGACCAAAAATTGATATCATAAAAGAGTTAATAAGCGCGTCGAGCGACATTATTTGCAGCGCGGAAATAATGTCGCGCGCATAATTAAGCCCGCAAACAGCCAGCGAAACCCCCGGAAAATCAATTTGGCGGAAGCGCCGACTTATAAATACCATCGATAATCTCCACGCTTTATATGTCACCGGGGTATAATAATAATAATGATGATGATGATAATAATAATAATAACGAAGTTGCGAGCCCCCTGCCGAAAAGCCGGCCGGTATAAATACTTTAATAACAGCGGAAGATAAACGAGGATCACAGGGCGCGGATATACGCGCCTGTCGTAAAGTCTTTATCGACGCGATTCCCCACGCGGCGCGGGGGGGGGGGGGGGGGATAAGAAAAAAGTGAGAAAGAGGAGTCGTCTTCGCAGCGGCCCCCAAACGTCGCGAGAAAAATACAACCCTGTATAAAATTTCGTACCGAATAAATGATCGCGCGCGCGAGAGCTAAGTGCATCGTAATCCCCGCCGCGCTCCTGTTACCCTTTCTGCATTTGCCCGCTTCGAAGTGGGCAATTAAAGGGGAAGAACGACGAGGAGAAGAGACGACGTCGAGAGAGGGCGGGAGAGAGAGAGAGAGAGAGAAAGAGAGAGAGAGAAAGCAAGATAAAGAGAAACCGATCTTTCCCTCTCTCTGGCGCACGCAATATTGCGCATGATGCATGTACGACTGCAAAAAAAACGTTAGTTTGAAAAAAATATTAGGTAGAGAGAAGGACGGAGAGAAAGAGAGGGGGGGGAGGAGCAAAAGGGAAAAGGAGAAAACGCCGTAGGGGCAGGGAATCGTGGCACTCTGGTAAAATAATATTGTTGTTGCTTTTAGGAAGCGTCCTCGCGCGACGATGATTAATGGCCAGGCCGCGACAATGGGTAGACGTCAGCAGATACGCGTGAAACCACGGCGTTACACGTGAATGTCGGCACGTGCGCCATTGTTAGGGAAATAGACTGAATGGTGTGTTAAACAAATTTCAGTTCGCGAACGAAATATCCGACAGGGATGAAAAGTTGCGTCGCGCAAGATTCTATGCCGGCGACAAGTGCGATTTATTCTGTCGCGCGATAAGCTCATACACCGTAACACGGAGAATCTTGGGTGTCGTTGTGCGTGTGTTGTACGTGTACAGCACACACTACTCCGTAGCGAGCTGCGGAACTCGCGAAGAGGATACGCGACAGATTGGCACGAGAGTGGTAAATTGCATCGCGGCGTCATTGTTGGAAAAAACAAAGAGTGCGTCTAATGACTGGAGATTCGCCGGAAATTGCTGGAACAGCGCCATCCAGTCACCGGGGCAAGAAAAAAAGGGCGAAGCAGTGATTACCTCTTGGCAAAAAAAGTGACGAAAGTAACTCCTCAGATATCAAAGTAGTGGCCAAAAGTGAGATTTTTCGTCAAATTCTCTGAGCACTGCGCACGGTGAGAAACATTTTGTACTTGTGTTAAAATCGATCCTCGTTAAAAATTGTATAAATTTTTAACATACCCGCGCGTTAATTCAACATATTATGTTGATATTAAACATGTGCAAATGTTAAAATAACACATTTTACACTTCGGTGTCGATTAACATTAAAATTTGAGTTGACCGTTTGGGAGCGTTTGTGAAATGCGTTAAATTTAACATGATTTTTTTTCCTTGTGTAAGGTCATTTAAGAAAAAAGTAACACTTGCTCTTACCTTCCCAGGTTTATCTTTAGATAACTTAACATATAGCGAGTTTTTTTTTTTTCATGGTTTCACGGTTTAAAAGTTCACAACAAGGAAAGGCCAAGGGCGTACGAACGATACGAATATGCTTTCGAAGCAATTTTTATTAAGAGAGATAGCAAATAAATATATAGAACGACCATGTTTTAAAAAATTACCGACAGCTCAGGAAAAAAGTGACATTGTGAACGACGGTGATTTTTTTAGTGACTCGTCGAGAAAAAGCGACAAGAGGACTTAAGTAACTGGATAGGTGGCGCAGCTGCGCACAAAAGAAAAATAGTATTATTATTAAATTAATAATAGATAATCTCATGTATAGGCAAGAATATTATATTTTTAAAAGATTTTTACTCTTGAATCGAGCGCAAGTAATACGCGCATCGATACGAATTCGATCAAAAAGTGAGGACTAAAAATCCAAGAAGATTTACAATACTCTCGCTTGTGTATGAGAATATCTATCATTGAGGACTAATTTTTCCCCACGTAGAAAGAAATTTCCCCCTTCTTACGAAAGAACCGATAATTACGGCGTGTGTCGTTCGACGAGATCGCCGTCGAGATGCGCAACGATAGCGCGCTATTTCCTGCTCGAGTCTCGCGTAACGTAAAGAGATTCGACGCGGAGAATCGTTTTGGGCGGCTCATCAATTGAGGGCTCGCGGTATCACATATACCGTGCAGAGCCGGCTGTTTGAAAACTTTCGCGAGTTACGGAGCGCGCATTTATACAGCCCGGCTCGCCCGTATGACGGAAAGCCGTGTAATTAAAATCCGCGTCGTCCCCGTCGGATCCTGAACTCTCTCCGCTCTCCGTGTACGGCAGAAGAGAGAAATAGAGAGAGAGAGAGAGAGAGAAAAAGCTAGAGACCCGGTGTGTACATAAAAAGTTTGACAAGAGCAAATGGCGGTTGCTTTTGTGCTCTCGCATTCGTAACGTCGTATTATATACGCAATATTACCGCTCCCTCCCCCCCCCCCCCCNCCCCCTAAACTTTTCGCGAGAGATGCATCGCGTGCCGCAGCGGAGTGTTCCGGCATAATTAATATTTACGAGTCGGCCGGGAGTATCAGAAGCGAGCATTTAAAGCGCGATCCCGTCGGCGTGGCGCCGATTTCAGCATCCGGACGATCGTCGTGCTCTCGTCGTCCGGCCAGCTTCGGCCGTTTCGCTCGCGGCCTGGCGGCTGCCCCTTCGCAAAGGGGAGAACTGGAAGATGAAGACGTGCGGAAAGAAATCCAACGGGGAGGAAAAGAAACGACGAGCTGCCGGGGACTCGCGCGCGTACTCGGTCGTCCCTCGCTGATAGAGGCTGCGCGGTATATACCGCCGGCGAGGAGTACACACCCGGAATGTACCACAGGGCCGCGGGGAAGGCGCGAAGTAAGACATAATTGGCGCCATAGTAGGAAAACGAAGAGTAAGAATAAGTAAAGACGGAGGGATGCCGGGCAGAGAACTGACCTTGCGCACGGACGACGGTGAGCAGGCCGGCGAGTAGAACGATCGGATGGCACCGCATCTTCTTTTTCACCTTCCTTCCCACCTGCAGGCTATTTCCACCCGGGCGTCCTCCAGCTCGTCTCACTATTTCCCGTCTCTCTTCTGCCGCCGCACGCGCGCTTCCCTCAGCGCCACCGAAAAGAACACACTCCCCGTAACACCCCTTCTCCTTCCTCCTTATCTCGCACTCTTTCCTCCTGGTCGTCCTTCGTGCCTCCTCCTCGTCCGGTAGTTCTCCCTCGCCGCGCGCCGATCACTCGATGGTGCGTCTCTCCGGCTCTCTCTCGCGACTCGGTCGCCGTTTAACGTCACGAAAGAACCCGCGTTCACCACTCATATCACTATTCCCCCCCCCCTCCGCCGCCTGTACCTTCGCCGAAGGAAACCGTCCCTTTCCTCTCGTTCCTTCGCCTCGCGCGACCTCCGCGAATGCCGCTTTTTGCCGGCTGAGTCCTTCACGCGAATCACGCGTTTCTCACTGATTGTACCGCCGTCCGCGGGCTCCCGTTGGATCGTCGACGACGGGAGCGGACCTCGCTCGTCCTGGAAACCGGGGAAAAGCTCCTCGTTCGAGTCTTCGTCGGGACGAACAGCGAGCGGCGCGTTCTTTATCGCGGAATAGTCCCTGGCTCTCTCTCTCTTTCTCTATTTCTCGGGCGATGTCTTTCTTCCGGTTAAATCGCCCTATTTCCGCGCCTCGGGGAGAGGAAAACTCGGGCGTGGCTGCGGACTCCACCTCGCGAGCGATGATCTCCCTCTCGATCGGGGATCACGAGGATGTCGGGGCGACGGAACGACGGAAACGAGAAGAGGAATCCCGACGCCCGGATAAGGAGCCGACGACGACAGGAAGGGAGGACGAGCGTCCGGCAACTTTCGCGGGAAGAAACGACGAGTCAACACAGGCGTTGACCCGGAGAAGCGGAGATAGATAGGTGGTAGAAAGAGAGAGAGAGAGAGAGAGCTCCTCGGCTTCGTCAGAAAAGCCGCGAAGACGCGCTCCCGCGGGAGAAGAGTAGAATGTACTGTGAATACGACTCTAATGATCAGCCACGTGAATTCGTCCTGATGTACCGCGAGATCTCCTCCGGCGTCTCCTCCGCGCGCGTCCGCTCGCTATCTCTCTCTCCTCTCTGCGTTTTATCGCGACGAGACACGAGCGGCAGGAGGCAGATGTTCCCGGAAACGTTCTCACCAAGGCGAAGGGTAAATCGGCTTCTTCGGCCCGACAACCTTTATCGTCGATGATCGATGAACTCGCGGGGAGCACACACGGGCGAGAACCTGGCTGGCTTGCCGTCAGACGTATGCGCTCTTTTAAAGAGATAGAGAGAGAGAGAGAGAGAGAGAGATAGAGCGACGGTACGAGACGCCTGTCGTTGCGGCGGACCACCGTTGCGATCCACGGTTCGAATAACACTTTTGCGAGGTTTCCGAAGCTCCCTCGGTCGCGACGGCAACTTCCCGGTCGTCCTGTACCGTGCCCCGACATTCCTTCACCCTCTCGTTCGATCTCTCTTTCTCTCTCTCTCTCTCTCCCTTCCTCCCCCTCCCTTCCCCTCGCTGTCTCTCTTGCTCATTCTCTCTCTCTCTCTCTCTCCCTCGCCAGTTTTAACGGCACTCTCTCCGCTCCGCAACGAGACGTAATTGAATAAAACCGCTAAGTGATTAATTGCCGGAGAGCCTCCGTGGCGTTCTTCCGCACCGGCCAACTTCGTACTCGAGTTTAAAAGATCTCGAGCTCCGGCAACTTTAAAGGATCTATGAACGGAGCGCCCCGCTCCGGCAATTTCGAGTGCCAGCACCTCTCCCACGCTCGCTACACCGGATATACCGTGTCCCGAGAATCTTGTCCTCTCTCTCTCTCTCTTATTCCCATCGGAAAGGCCCGAGGTGCGACAAGAAGAGTGTAAAAATACACTCGAGGTTACCCGGCCGGAGGGGTGTCCGGGCGTATAAATGAATCGACGGAGGCTCCCGAGGAGGTGTTGCATTATAAAGAGAGACATCGCGAAATAGCGCTCCGGGCTCTGGTTGATAAATTACAGTTTTGCGGCCGGACGGATCGATCCGGCGGAATAGCGGGGGAAACGTTTTCTCGAAGCCCTCGTCATTTTTGTAGCGAGAGCAACTTCCTACCGCCGCGAAAGACAGTTCCGACGACGACGAAGACGAGGCTATTATCGCACGGACGTAAATGTCGGGCGAATTCGACGTTTACGGGGAAGCGAGCGGCCCCGCTCCCAAGATTATTTGTCGGCCGATCAAAGTTGCATTAATACACGGGAACGTGCGCGCGACGGTGGCGAAAAGTTTCGCCCTCTCATTATTTATTATCCAGCTGGCCGATGTGTACGAGAACGCGGCACACACGGACGGCTATGCGACCGTCATTGCGAAGCAGCACGCGGTCAAAGTGGGCCGAGAAAAGAGCGTAGGTGCGCGATGCGATGGGAGGAACCCGATATCGTCGCGAAATCCGTCACGGCGAACTTTTGTCCTTTCACTGAAAACCTCGTCGTTTCCGCCGGAGAGGAGGGGAGGGAGGCACATGTGGCCCGACGAGAAACTCTTCCCCTTCGCGCGGATGTTATGATCTCTCCGCGCGTCTCAAACATTCGATGCATCACTCCGGGGCAGCGAGGGGGGAGGAAAAGAGGGGAAGGAAGAGAGGCGGTCTCATATTTTTTTCCTGAAGGCGCAAGACGCGCTCGAGAGGAACGGAACAGTGCGAAATCCCGACGCGAATGGGGCGGTCGAGAGCATCCGACGCGGAATTGCAACACACGATTCTGTTCCTCCCCCCTTCTCTCTCACGCTACTCGATACATTCAGCGAGAGAGTCGCTTTTTCTCCGGGCGGAAAGTCCGCCGGTGCGAGAGTCGGTTCCGCTTTAATCGTGATGTATGGTCCAACTTGCGCTATTAAATCGAATTTACTTATACGTCTCCTCACGTTTTAGGCCGGCGGAGTTTTACTACTTTAAAACTCGAGGCACGAGGCGGGAGGGCGAGGGGAGAGCCCGACGGCGGGGCTGGCGGAACCGGCGAGGGGTCGCGGGACTGGGCGAGTGCGTATCCGCTCTTCGGAAAGTGGGATCGAATGAATTTATTGGTTTTCGCGGAAAGTTCACGGGAGCCTTCGCGGCCCGAAAAGTAATCACGCTGCTGACCTTGCGGCGATGCGCGTCTCGCATTCCTTTATTACGCTCCGCATCGACGCGCCGCGATAACGCGATAATTAACATTTCGCGCCCCGGAGGGGTGGAGGGGGAGGGAGAAATGTAGAACGCGTCGATTTTTCCTATTCCTTTCTCCACGTTGCGATCTTTTTCACAATCGCGGCCCTCCCGTCGATGCCTCGCAGGCAGTGTTTTATGCGCGAAATCGCGCGAGGAGAGAGGAGAGAGAGCGGGAGAGGGAGAGAGAATTTCGCACTCATCGCCCGGAGCGGTTTCCAGGACGACGGCGGAGCAAAGAAGCCAAAAAAATAGCATTTCGTCGCGGCGCCGTCGAAGGAGAATTTCTCTCTCTCTCTCTCTCTCACTCGTCGTCATCGGCGAAATTACACGACACGCCCGATTCGCGACGGCGGTCTCGCGAGGACAAATCGCCCGACGACCGTGTCGAGCCGGCTAGAGAAGCTCTGAAGCTACCAGCCTCAAGTGACGAATCGAATTTGCTAATAGGACTCACTCGTTCTCTCTCTCTCTCTCTCTTTCTATCTCTCCCAGCCTGTCTCTCTTTGCAACCGAGCCTGGGGGAATCAACTCGACGCACGCGGGCGGCACAGGTTCTCTCCCTCTCTCTGTCTCCTTGTGTGTTTGTACGTGTGTCTGTGTGTGTGTCCTGCGGGCTGTTCGTCGACCGACGAGGGTACGGAATGTCGTGCCAGTCGTGCTAACTGAAAACGCTCGTTAAAACGCGCTCATCAGCTTCACACGTAGCGGGACGCCGCGTTGCGATTAACTAAACCGTGTATTGGGGGTAGCGTTCTCGCGACGCTAACGAGAGAGAGTTTCTTTCTCTCTCTCTCTCTCCCTCTCTCTTGCGACGGCGACGCGACGGCAGCGTTTCTCGCGCGTGTAAGCGCGCCGTTTCGCCGCGAGTGCAGTTTTCGCGGCATTCCCTCTGTTTTTCCCGAGGCCGAATGTCCCCCCCCCCCCGACGTTTACCAGCGACGTGGGAAAAATCCAACGACACCCAGCAAGCACGAAACACATACTATCCACGCTCGTTCGGCAACGTCGCTCGGACTCATTAAGCGGATATTAAACGTCGCCGGGCGCGTAATTGCCTGGTCGCTTGTTCAGTCGGGACAAAACCGTCGCGAGGAAAGCGAAATTCACGGAAATCGAGCCGCGAACTTGGCGATTAAACTCCGAGGAATCGCGCGTTCGCGTAGGATTACTACGTCGATTCTCCGTCGGGTCGGGATTATCGATCGAAACACGCTCCGAATTTGGAAAGAGAGAGAGAAAGAGAGAGAAAGTTCCCGGTGGAAATTCGCGAGCCGGAGAAGCATCGGTCGCGGACGGACAGTCGCAGGCCGTTTCCCGCACTCGATATCGAAGACGGCGGCCGTTGGTCCACCGCTGCTCGTTAAGAGACCCCGTGGTGTATCGCGAGGTCGCTCTACGTGCCTCATCTGTCATTCCGCCAGTTCTACCGTGTTTACTTAGCAAAAACACCTGTCGGCACCTGGCCGTCGTTCTTCCCGGGGCGCGCGTAGGACACGCCGATCGCGCCAGCGATGAAAACGCCGATGAAATCGGCCCGGCCAATTATCGAATGGCCGGCCGACCAAAAAGCCGCGGAACTCGTTAAGCGGCGGCTTCGCGGCGGAACCGACGTCGAATAAGAATCGCGGCAGACAGAGAGGGCGAGAGAGACGACGCGGAAATGGGGAAATCCCGGCGATGCACGTCCCGTGATTATCGAGCTTTCGTGATTCCGCAGGAGCGACGGGAGCGGAAGGAGCGTGCGAGAGAGCGAGAGGGAGCACGGCTCATCGTCGGCGAGACGCCCCCGCGGGACCGCCGACGACGCGAAAGAAAGACACCCCCGAGAGCCCGGGACCCCCCCCGCGAACGAGGCCTGCTTGAAATTCGACATCGACCTCCTTTATAAATCCTCAGATCGGGTGTTCCCTCTCCGTCGAGCGGCCGCTCCGCGTCGTCGAGGACGGGGAGACACGCTGCGGACGAAGACGGCGCGACGGCTCTTCCCCGCCCGTGAGGTAAGATCTCGCGCGACTCCCGACGACGTCGTCGAACCGTCCTCGGGATGAAAATTCGCCGTGCGTGAGATCCGTTCGTCGCTCGCGCTCGCCTGCGTCGCGTGCTCGGCTCACACGGAATATTATCGCGGGCTCTCTCGAGCGGCGCGCGCGAGAGAGAGAGGGGTTGTGTTATATACAGGACACGCACACGAGACACGTCGCGTACGCTCGCCACGATCGCGGGCTCGGCACTGGCGCGCGGAGGCACCCGGACTTTTAGTTCCTGGCGCTACCGAGCAGCGTCGCGACGCCCGTCGACTCCC